TAATTTATAAGTCAAAATGGCGATTCAAAATGGTGGATTTCCATTTTTTCTAATTATTTTTTTAATGTCGTTCAAATAGAAGAATGAATGTGTTAATATCTTATTGAGCGTAATGCAATTATGAAAATGATAATAGAACACTAATATTATCACTTTAATTCGGAAAATTTAGTCGTTTAAATTTGAAAGCTGTGTTAATTAGCTCAAAAATAGAATTACACAAAATACTCAAACTGCTTAATTCTGAGTCGTTTTGCAGAAAATAAAAGGAAATTAATAACAGCTTGCATTTTTAAATTAATAAAATAATGTTTAAATATTCAATAAAACTTTGAGGATATTGTTGTTAATGACTTAATGGCTGTTTATGACACTGATCTTTGTTTTATTACTTCTATTATTAAGAGACCGTTCACGGTAGCTCAGTCGGTAGAGCGCTCGCTCCGTGATCGGGAGGTCGTGAGTTCGAATCTCGGCCGCGACTGACCTAAGTCGATAAAATGGGTAGCAACTGTTCCTTCGCCATGCGCTCGGCACTTTGAAGTGAAAGTTGCGGGTCCTTCGGATGAGACCTTAAAAACCGAGGCCCCGTGTCAAGGCAGGCATTGGCACGATAAAGATTTCTCACTGCTCAATGGCCCCGAGTGCCGAGTAAAGGTCAAAATTTGAAGCCCTTCACCGGTATATGGAGACGTCTCTATATGAGTGAAAAATTCTCGAATGGGACGTAAAACAACATACAATCAATCAATCAATCTATTATTAAGATAAGTTTTTGACTACATCTATGAAGAACTTTTACCTATTACCTATCTAACCATGCTTCTTAATATAAAAAAAAGTTAATAATATCACACAATAATTGCTGTTTGGAGGACAATATGACAATTAAGCTACCCCAAGAGCAGTATTCCCCGAGTCCAAAGGCGAGTGAACATTGTAGTTCGAAGGTTGCTAAATTATCCCAGTTGTTGGAAATTTTTGATCTACTTTTAGTCCATACAGTGTAGAAAAAAATAAATGTTTATGTTCATGTGGAAGGTCTAGTGCAACATAACTTAGTATATGATTTTTAAAATGATGAACCACAACCAATCAGAGAGCTAAGAATTATTAAATCATATAAATTTGAATGTAATATACTATATATCAACATATTTATTAAGAATTATCAAAACCAGTATAATATACGTAAACCATAAATATTCTTGATTGTCTAGCTCTGATTCTGCGTCCCTGCATTTGCATTTTATTATCCATAGCCAACAAAAATCAACTATATTCACAAATATTTAATGTTGTGAACATATAATCTTGTATTGTTAGATATAAATTTAAGCGGCTACAAAATTCCTTTTTTTAAAAGAATATTGTATATGATCAAAATCTATAATCCAAACATACTTTTTTGTCATACTCTGATGGAATTCGGTGCCTATTGTTTTGAAATTTACAAAATCGGAAAGAGGAAAATGTTTGTGTTTAATCCCCCCCTCGATTCTTGATACAACCATACACTATCCTAACAAAGTAGTGTGGATCAAGTTGTCTTGTAAAGTTGTTGGAGTGTTCAAGAAAATTTTGTTGTCAAGAGAAGTGTTGACTAAATCAAAGTCAAGAATGGCTTCGGCCTGTTGGTATGAAAGCTTGTACGTGATAGAAATCACAAGGAATCTGCAAGTGCTCTTAGATCGCACAATTATACAACTTTTCTCACCAAAAAATGCACACAATGTGATTCCAAATGATAAAGTTTGAGAATTTTCTTGCTAATAGAATGACCTTTCTACCCAAAAAGACAATAAATCTATAAGGTCACAAAAGAGAAAGCTACATGTCTTATCAGAGTTTTTTTTTTTCCATTTTGCATAAGGTTTTGGAAAACAAAATAGTCTTTTAAGATTTGAACATAAATGTGTTGTTCATTGGGCTGATGAGAAAACCAAAATTCCGAAGACTGACTGAAGGTACAGCATTTAAAGCTGGAATAGAGGATGTTGGGGGGAAATACTAAGCTCTTACAAGTGCTAATTTCAAAAGCTAGTGCAAAGGGTTCAATGAGGTCGGGCAAGAATTTCTTCAGTTATATTTGATGGTGTGCTGAGGGATGTTGATGTGGAAGTGCGAGTTAATAATGACAGCGATTCAGCAGTGATTTTAGGTGGACAGGGGTTCAGAACTTTGGAACACGGTCAAATATGAGGAAAACAAGTCGAGTTCGTTTTAACTATTTCCAGAAAAAAAGAAACTTTTGTAGTATTATTTTTTGTTTGATCATTAAATGGACTAATCAATATAATCAGCAACACTCAGAACAAAGGGACACCAAGAGAAATTCCTCTTCCTATTAACTTTGCTATACCTTGGAAAAAACATATAACCCTGTCTCCTCCCACCACCCATTATGAAAAACATTTTTACTGCTCGCTATGTATGTGGGAGGGAGGGAGGGGGAAGGGGTGAGTGGATGGTTGAAGATTGAGTGAAATGCGAGAATGATATTGGTTAAAGCATTCTGCACTGAGTGAAGAAGCAGTCTGTAGTTCTTCAAGCAGTGCTCTAGTACCGTTCTTGAATGCCCTCTTGCACCTTTAGCTGTTCTCATACTAGCATATCATATATGGACGTGTCATTGCTCCTTCTTCCCAGAAATAGACACCTGTAGAATGCGAGTGGAACCTTTTGAAAGCCTGCAATTATTCCTTTTAAATTGTTTTGGCGATAAATCTGTCTTTTCCAGAGCTTCATAAAAATATGTTTAATACAATTCACTCATTGTAGTACATATCACTAGAAGGTTGAGGAGAAGGAAAATTAACCGATCAACCCCCCCCCCCCCCCAAAATCGTCTTTAAGTTGCGTAACAAATACACAGTGTCCACTAACACGCATAAAAAATAATTTAGGAAGTACGCTTCCCATTCTTTTTATATGCATGTAAACCAAGCACAATGCCAGGCAGTACGTGATATAAAGATAGGCAGATGTAGTGGTAACCTCACATTACTAAGTCCAATGAGATGGAATGGATGTTCTTGGTTGTTTGCTGCAAACTTATGAATGGGCCATGGCAGAGATTTTTCAAAAATTCAAATTATAACTTACAGCTGTACCATCATTCAGTTGTAGAATAGTGAGATGCAAAGGGAAAAAACAATCTGCAGTGTATGGATATTTGCAAATGTGAAATCCTGAACAAAGCAGAGAAAATTCGAATTAAGTGTAGAAACAACTAAATTTTCTGAATTAAAGTAATGATGTTAGCATTCCTTTATCATTTTTATAGTTGCATTACACTCTGTGAGATATTCACACATTCTTTCTCCTATTTGAACGACATTAAAAGAAAATTAGAAAAATTGCATGTCCGCCATTTTGAATCGCCATTTTGACCTTTTTGACGCCATTTTCATGAAGGCCAGCATATTTTTTCGGATTCAGCATACTCGAAATAGGTTAAAAATCTATGCTGGACCAAATAATAATTATTTGCCGTTAGAAGTATTTTTTTCTATAAATCGGACCAGACTACAAAGTGAACGAACGAAGAGCGAACGGTGAACGCATTGGGAACGGTGAACGCGAGCGCACGGTGAACGCTGAATGCAAAACTGTGATCGGAGAGCGAACGGTGAACGCACGCTGAACGAACGGTGAGCGAAACGCAGCACAGTTAAGGCTGCAGTAAGGAGGCGGGGCCTAATTTGTACGGGAAATGCTTACTATGACATCACACAAAAATATAAGTTCTTCAAATTACCACAGAATGAAATGATTTGCTATTTTAACTGGTGGATAGCTTTAAACTACATAAATACTAATTATTGCATGCATTTTTGTCGTTGGTTAAACCTCACACAGCAATATATAAACAATTCACTGATCGCAATGCACTTGTCAATGTGACGTCATATCGTAAAAGTTGACGCAGTTTGTATGCAGTTAGAGGCGGATCAAGTTATATTTTATACAATGAAAAATGTATTTTGTAATTAAATAAAATATTATTTGCAGATATATAAGAGGCCTTTAACTTGGATGCGATGTCTATTTTATGATTTTATTCTTATACTTCCCGCACATTCCCTAGTCAAGCGATACTGTCGTATATTTGTATGCAGATTCATTGAAGGGTAACAGAAGGGTCGTAATAAATCGATTTATTGCAAGGGCATACCCTTGATGAATTATGACAAGCTTTTACACATAAACTCAAGAAGTATGAAGATATTTGAAAAGTGCTGCGAACCTGTTGAAATCTTGCAAATGAATTAATTATATCTATATTTAATGTACTTGACCAGCAAAATATTCAACATACGGTCTAACAAATGTAATTTTAGCAATTAGATAGTAGAATCTAAATAGGTTCGCAGCACTTTTCACAAACTACAAAGAGTGTTGAAAATAATTATATATTAAACTTAGATTTTTAACTTGGTTATGCCCTTGCAATATTAGAATTTATAGATGACCTCAATACTTCAGGTATATTTGCTAAAATCACGTGACTGCTACATCACGTGACAAGTCTAAATAAGAAATCTAATCATCTTCAACATGTAGTTTTCAACCACATTGCATTTGTCCGATAATAGTAAAGTCTTAAAAAGAATCACCCATCCTTGTAAAGAATGTATTTTCTATCTAAAGAAATCGCCGATATTTCCATTTGGCACCTTAACTGTACTGCGACGGAAAAATGGGAAAGTAGAACGTTTCAGGGACTGTATATATATATATATATATATATAAATAAATATATATATATATATATATATATATATATATATATATATATATATATATATATATATATATATATATATATATATATATATATATATATATATATATATATATATATATATATATATATATATATCCTTTCTGAAAGAATCTGTGTATTTTAAGAAACTACAATTTCATATTAGAACTTGGATTTCTGTGTTCACTTCAATTAACTTAAATCACTGTTAATTATTGATCTTCTTCTTTGTTTTCTTTAAGTCCAGAATGTCAGCTAATCAAATGATAGCCTTTGAGCCTTTGGCAACGGCGACAGGGTCCTCACCTCTAGTCTTACTATTTCCACTAGGCGTCGCTACAATCTGCGGCTCCATGTTTTTGTCGAGTATTACTGAACTTTATCATATTTTCATCATAATATTTTGCTTATTTTTTATATTTCGTGAAATATAGAACATATGAAATATTGACCTTATTTCCGAATCTCAAATTTTTGTTTTAGGTATCAGTATACAGGCTACCAACTCTGCTAAATTGCTAGGTATATCTCTGTTCATTATAACCATATTAGCATTATTAGCATTATTAGTACATGTAATTCTTTTACCTACATGTTTACGTTATCAATTAAAAACAAATTAAAAAAAAAAGAAAGAAAAAACACAAACCAAAACAAACTAAACAAATGCAAACAAACAAAAAGCCAAAAAAGCAGAAAAAAGCATCTCGATCTTCATTAGGAACTAAATAGACACAATTGTCGTACAATCTAAATATATATCAGTAATCAACATTCTTTTTTCAGAAATTGAACAAAACTTTTCGGAACTTGAAAGCGAGAGAAGAAATTGTAAAAGGGAGTTGGAAGACTGCAAGAAAGAGAGAGACAGTCTAAAACAGGAACAAAATAACAATTTAAAGCAGTGTCTTGCGGATCTTGAGGAGGCAAGAATGCCGGGTAAGTAGCGGAACAAGATAACAAAAAGTGCTCAGTAAAGGGGTGGTGGTAAACAATTCATCCTACTTGTATAGAAAAAAAAATGCTGTCAATAATTTTATTCAAAGTGATTCAATGTTATTATCAAGAATCTGTTTAAAGTCAACGTTTCGCAAAGCCTATGGCACAAAAACCTTGCTTGCAAATATAATCTGTCGTTGGGTAGACTAACGTCTTTCGTCCACAATGTTAGGTCATTAATTTCATTTTCATGAATTGTCTACTGATTTCCGTTTACCCGATCATGACAAGAGGCACACAGCGGATGTGACCGGTCGACAGGGGATACTCACTCTTCAATGGCACCTGATCCCACCTCCTTTTTCAGAAATCCTTTTTTCTCTACTCCAAACTTGTATTGTTTAATTGGAAATTCTAGCTGTCTTCAGAATTCATTTATTATGCAGTGAGCAATTCATATTTGCAGCATCACATACCTGCTGGGGAAATATAGACAACCGTGCGCACAAAGTTTATTTAAAATATGTCAACTGAATTTCGCTGATATTTTACATGTACATTCTTCTTCTTCTGTTGTTCTTTCTGAAGATTTGAATCAGTTGGATACAAAAAAAATTGTTCATCATCTTAAATACATGTACTTTGAAGAAGGGTGACGGTTGGGTGGAAGTGAAATATTAATTTGGGTTTTTAAAAATAAAAATCATATTTAAAAAAAAAAATTCATATTTTTAAAGTCTATTTTGCAATTAAGGCAGAGATTTTTTACCGGATGGTAAATTCCAGGTGAGGGAGGGGCTTATTTTGTACAGGTGTGAATGCCTTGAGGGCTAGCAGTCTACCTGTGGTCGTTTGTCTCCTAATCCCTATACACAGGAAGTGATTTAATACACAGTAGAGTACCCAAGAAGTCAAACTTTACCTGTGTTGGAACTTTGAGATGATTTTAAATTAGAAATAAAAAGTTGTAAATAAAGTTAAATCTCAATTTTTTTAAATTAATTTGTAATTGAATGTGTGTCAAAAAAAACCCCACCCATTAAAGAAAATTATTATTCAAAGTATTTGTTGAGCTTTGACAAAACATTATACCAAATTTCGATATACATTATCATAAAGAAAATCATAATTATTTCAAATACTAAAGGTGTGTATCATCAAGCTAAACATTCCATAGTAATCATGGTAATACAGCTTCTCTATTGTAAATATCAAAGGATCAAAAGTTAATTTGAAGGTCACCACGAGTGCCAAACAAGGTGCACAGGGTATACACAGGGACTAGTAAGTAAATGTCAATCAAGTTCTAGCACCCAGTGATGTACCTTAATGCACTTGATTGACAGGGGTACACTGACCAGATATTTTTGAAGGCGGTGCTTAAAATCTCTGCCTTTAAGAATGAATTTACTTTTGATTGATCGAAGTTTCACCTGTCTCTTTAATTATATATTTTGGCTGAAAACGATATATTTAATACTTTGACACTTTGTTTCCCTAGATTCACACATCTTAAACATTCCTCGCCATCTTAAAATCTTTGATCGATAATTGTATAGATTGTATAGGAATGATGCGTGCAGTTGATCGTTGCAATCAGTAGAAATTCAAATTTAATGAACGTGTGGATTTCACTAAGCTTATTCCCCCGTTAATTCATAATTTTGATTACAATTTTATTAAATATGTTTGCCCTGAACATTCCCCAAAATAATACCATTTGTTTTGAAATTTGAAAGACCTCAATGATCTTATCAAACTAAATCCACATCGAGTGTAAATCTTTACACGCTGATCGACCGGTAGACTTTTCAGAACTTTGATTTTTTTTTCATTGACTTTGTTTAAGTGGATTTATTAGTCACTTTTACTGATAAGTGCATTTTGCAATGTTTTACTGTATATGCGGTAAACCTTGATAGAATAAAAAAGAAATCGTTTATTACATTTTCAACAGTGAAATACTGTGATTTATCTATTGAATAAAAGTGATATTCTCTCACAGTGTGAAAGGATACCAAAATGATATTCTCTCACAGTGTGAAAGGGTATCAAAGTAAGTAAAATATAATTTCTGGCCTGTCATAAGATAGAGATAGTATAAGTAAGCATCTTGATAGAGCTAAAACTGCAAATTTCTTCCCAAATATGCTGCTAAAATCCATGTTATGTAATGTTTTCAATCACACAACTGCTAAGCTTTGACGTCTCAACCGCTCAACCATGACGTCAAGCATATGACACTGTGTTAAGAAAAGACAGAGGCAAAGGGAAAATCAAAGAAAATGTAATAAACAGAAAATTCAATGATTGAATTCAAATTCCATATTCATCTTCAAAACATTGAATATCCTCTATATACTCTTACATATATTGTAAAGCTACACATTTCAGTGAAATGCCCGATTTATTTATTTATTTATTTATTTTTATTTTTTTTATTTTTTTATTTTTTTTTTGTTTGGGAAGTGCAGAATGTACTACTCTACATAAACGAAAAAAAAAGGGAAAAAAAAGCAAATGTAGTCTGGTTCCCGAGGCCTTCGTGAGTGAGAAAGGAAGGATATCAATCAGCCACTCTATAAATTTTATCAGAACCAGACTTTGCAACATTTTTTTTGTACGTAACATATACATTATATTACAATGAAGAGCGTTTCTGCGGTTTTGTAATGTGTACTTTTGTGGTAAATGTATTCCAATAATCATATCGCCTATGCTTTTCTGTTTGCTATAAGGTATACTAGAAATAAAGTTCTGGTGTAAATATTTCATTACAAAACCGCAGAAACATTCTTTACTATAATATATTTGCATTCAATGAATATTTTCTCCTTTATTTCTCAAGAAATCCATTTTTGTTTATTAGCCAGTAAACACTGATAAGCATATCATCCGTACACATTTCTTGAGCAGTGGCTCTTCCATCAATGAAAAGTACAATGACGTACATATTAATACATGTAATACAATACTTGATATACCTAATACTACTCTTTATGATTATTTGTACAGATATAAATATAAACAATAAAATATCTTTCTTTGGATGTTAATAAGGGAATTAACGGTGCAGCTATGGCAGAAAAAAATTACTTAACCTGCTTATGCTGGTTATGCATTTTTTCTGCAACAGTTGCAACATTATTTCCCTTATTAACAACTAAAGTAAGCATTTTATTGTTTAAATGAATTATGTACAGTCCCTGAAACGTTCTACTTTCCCACTTGAACGGTGAGCGAACAGTGAGCGAACGCAGAGCGAACGGTGAGTGAACGATGTGTGAACGCTGAACGCAACTTGGTGAACGGTAGGTGAACGCTGAACGGTGAGCGAACGCAGAACGCGAACGGAGCGCGAACGCGAGCGCAAAGTGAACGCTGAACGCAAGATCAACGATTTATTTGGAATGCCTCTGATCTTTTCCATGCATTGTATCTATTCTATTGTATTCTAATGTCAGGTGGAAAATAAATAAATATTCAAAAATTGTCCTAAAAAAGATGAAACATGCACATTTAGTAAAACTATTAATTAAGTTTCTTACAATATTTTCTGCACATATATATGATGTTTAAATTCAGCTGTTTAATCATACGATTTTTATCGCTGTCATTGTTACCGAACGCTGTAGTTTAAAAAATAAAATCATTCTAGTTGTAAAATAAATATTTATTCTTATTTGATATATAAAACCATTACAAATAATGATTTTCGAAGAGTACATTACTGACTTATAGAATGAATTACAACGGTTGTAACAACCAAACATGTACAGTATGTATTTCCGTGTCAAGGCAATTCCGTGCGAAAAAGTGAGAAAAAAAAATATTTTGCTAGTCTGTGGACGTATTGCATGTATACCCTCATATTTAAAAAAAAAATTATGCAATGATGTATTTATGTGACTGTCTTTTCATTTTTTTAATGATGATTAATTCAGCAGACTTCAACATGTATCTATAAACAATTCCCCGTGATTATACTCGGACAAGGTGATACAAAGAAGCATTCATATTATTTGTTATAGATTAAAATTTCAGAACTTGGTAATTAAGTAATACGTGTTTTGATTAAACGAACAAATGAGAGAGAGAGAGAGAGAAAGAGAGAGAGAGAAATTATGTTTTAGCCCCCCTTTTCACAAATGCATGTACATGTACCTGTATAAACAGAAACTCTTAATTTTTATCTGAATATCTCAGGCAGTGAGAGTAACCTTTTTTTTTATTTATTTATCAACAAATTCACTTTGTTTGACAGTCATAATCGGTTTTTATTTTCCTGCTTCAAGTTCGCACGAAGTCCACGTGCTTGTCCTGTCAATCAAAATCATTCGACACTGTGCAGGTGGGAAAGTTTTCGTCACACCATAAGGCGAAGTGCTACACTGTAGTATTTACAAGAAGTTTTACTTGTTTTATCATTTCTAGATCTGATTACAATTTTTCCAATAAATAAATAAAATACATTGGGCATAAACACTTCGAATGAATTTGAAACATCCTCCCTGGCCAATTTAAAATACCACCGTCGGAGCGTATATATTTTGAACTACTATTGTTTAATGACTTTTTTAGATGCATGTTTGTTCTGAGACAAAAAAAATTGTGCTACAAAACGCGTTAACTTCTTTTTAAGTACCAGTCCACATAAAAATCAGACAAAGGGTGATATATGAGGGTTCTCAGAATTTGATGATTTTCCACACATAGATTTGTTTTGAACTATGAACAATGTATGTAAAATGAAAAATGTTTTGAGTCATGGTTACCATGGAAACCCGGCCAAAGAAATTTCCTTAGCAACCGGCAATTTTTTCCATGTTGATGGACAAAAATTCACCTATCTTTAAGGCTTAAAATAAAATTTTAATACCATGAAAATTATTCTCAATTACTGGTGTAATAAAGACACATTTAAAGTGTTTTAATAATGCAATGAAAGAAATTTAGGTCTTAAGTTAGTTCTTTGCTAGCCATTGGAAGGTACATATGTT